AAAACTGAAGTTAAATAAGATTCAATCAGACACAAAATAATTCTATGTGAATTGGGACCATGACATTGATACTTTGGGGGAGAAAGACAAATATTCAGGAAATATTTATTTTATTAAGGACCTAATCCTTAAGATCAGCTGTTTGAGTGTCTTTTGAGGTGGCTCAGGACCTACAGCACTGGCCACATGATACTGTACTCCTCTAGGCTTCAGGAGGACATGGAGAGAAATATAAAGGAAATGATTTCAGAGTTCCTATACTACAACCTCAATATATGTAAGGATGGTGGAATGAACTAATAGCAGTGAAGAGAGAGATTAAGGTTACTTGGACTACAGAGAATTTTTATAGCTTAAGGGAACATGTCTGTATACATAACACATAAAACACGCATTTCTAGACAAGCCTGAAGAACTTAGCTAATGTTGCAAAGCCATCAGAGCTTTCAGAAGAAAAACAGAGATGGGGGGGTGAAAATGTTAAAAAAAGAAGAAGAAGAAGAATTGGGGCGTGTGGTGATTGCTTCACAGAGGGAACAATTTGCAATTCTTCAGGCTACCTAATAAGACCTGGTGAGTATGGAGAATGAAGGTAGGAGTGGAAGTAGCATTCCTAAATTGCTTTATTTTCTGTATCCATTTTATCTGGAAAGTCAAATGTCTTCCTAATAGATACAGAGTAGTGTTTGGTTGTGACATTGAAGGTGGATGGCCCTTCCACAAATTTTCATTTTAGATCACGTGTGAAATCAAGAAGGGATAGCTCTGTATAATGGACAACTACTGGAAATCTCAGCCTAGAACTGAAATTACACAGACTAATTAAAGGAACAGCCAAAAGTTTAAACCTTTTGGTGGGGCTTGAAGCGCGGCTAAGAACCTTTGATGTATCTTCTCACTAAACTTCCACTTTCTGTGGACACTACTGATACTTCCGAAATGAATTATTCCGAACCATGCAGCTGGGTTGTGTCCAGGGATCAACCTAAAAGTCCCCTTTCCGATGAGGAAGTCCAAACAGATGACATTTCTCATTTATTTCACCCCTCCGTAACTTTAACCAAGTTAATTAAATGCTCTGGAATCTCTGCCTCCAAAGTACAGAGCTGCACATATGTTTAACCCGGCTTCTTTCTGCTTTCCTCTTCCAGCTGATGCAACAAACACTGGAAGTGGGAGTGGCTCTACTGGGCAGCTGGAGTCAGAGAGAAGCAGAATCTCATTGTGGCTGCAGTTCTCCTGGAAGGGCTCAGCAGAGAGGCCTTGGGGGCTCCCACCTTTCAGGGAACCTCAGCACCAAGCTCTACACATTGTCCCTATCATAAGGCCAGCTTTTCAAATGCTCAAAAGGCATGGTGAAGTCAAGGCTGTTCATTGCTGTCAGTAATAATACACTGGTGAGTGAGCTACAAATAGTCCTAGGCTCTTTGGTTATGTTATATGCTCTTTTGGCACAACCCAGAATGGTAGTATTATGGCCACTCTTTGCCATAAGAAACAGGTTCTATCATGCATGCCACATGGTCTTCTGGATCTTTCTCCAGAGTCACTCCCCAGAAAAATGTTTCTTGAATGAATCGTGAGCCATATACATATTTCTTAAGAATGTAGCTGGCACTGGCTAGCTCTGCTGAGAAGGCTCCCAGAAGCATGTCACTCAGATGATTGTGACAGTCATGAGGAAAAAAAAAGCAGACAACACAGTTCTGCTGCATGTCCAAGAGGAGCAAAGAAAAGCAAGATTCTTTGTACAGTGGGTGATCAACTTAACTTACGATGTTCTCTCTGCACTAGGCAGGGAAGGGGCTAACAACACACTACACTGGATTAAGAGTCACAAAGCAGGCATGAAGAGGGCTTTAAGGGTGTGTATCACTGACTTCCTGAGCCCTCTATCTTGAATAAAAGCATTGTAACTATTATATCTTATATCTGTTACCAAAAATAGGCATATTGATGAAGTCATTTATTTTCCATTAATTATGGGGACAATGCTGGTTTTTTTGGTTTTATTTTTTTTTGTTTTTTTTTTTTAAGCAAAGAAAAGCAAGATTCTTTATACAGTGGGTGATCAACTTAACTTACGGTGTTCTCTCTGCACTAGGCAGGGAAGGGGCTAACAACACACTACACTGGATTAAGAGTCACAAAGCAGGCATGAAGAGGGCTTTAAGGGTGTGTATCACTGACTTCCTGAGCCCTCTATCTTGAATAAAAGCATTGTAACTATTATATCTTATATCTGTTACCAAAAATAGGCATATTGATGAAGTCATTTATTTTCCATTAATTATGGGGACAATGCTGGTTTTTTTGGTTTTATTTTTTTTTGTTTTTTTTTTTTCTATTAGAGCAGATGCCAATACACCCTAGAGCAGAGTGCTGACTATGGATCAAGTTCATCCAGTATTGAAAGTCTAAAGAGCTGGGTTAAGCCTTGTTTTGCGACCCATTCCACTTGATGAGTTAATCATTTCTCTAAATGTCTATTCACTTGTTCACTCACTCAAAATATTACTGACTACCGATTACAGTGTGTGCATTCTTGCATCAGTCTGAGAATTCGGCTCTCAGCAATCCCTCCACCTACCTGGACATTAGAATGCGGGTAGCAAACAAATTTTAAAGGAGCAAACACATATTCCGGGATTGGGGTAGCGCACAGATAGGATATTTATAACTGCAAGGGTCCTCCAAGGACACAGATGAAGATAGGAATAAGCTATTCTAGGAAAGGCTATAAACCACCTAGGGTTAGTTCTTATTGTTTAGCATGGATAATTGGGGAAATTTTCCTATAAATAAAAAAAATCTATTAGGCAAGTCTTTCCTATCAGAAATGCAAAGAATTCTGCTCCCTGGCAGTCAGGAAGGAAAAACCTCAGCTTTGAGTCCAGGGACAGACAGGCATCTTCCCAGCCCAGCATACTGTGCCTGCATCCAGAATGGGTTAAAGTGGCAGTGCTTGGAAGTACCACATAAACAGCATGTCAGATGTTCTAGGCAAGTTTCATCTTCTCTGTATCCCAGTCCCAGGCTGTCAATCAGCTGTCACTGGTCCGCACATCAGCCGGGTGCATACATCACTGGGCTGTCAGCAAGGCTGCTGATGAGACTCGGCTCCAGCCTGTCAATCATCTTTGTTTCTCTTCTCCACTCGGGAAATATTTTGGCTCAGAGAAACAAAGAAACCTGGGCAGTGATGGTTCCTAGTCAGGCCTTTCCTCGTGTGTATGGACATATGACTTGTCACTAGCACAGGTTCTGTCTCACCCCAGGAGATGTCTGGGTACTGGTTCAACAGAGGGAAGAGCAAGAACCTGTTTTGTTGGTGCAGGCTTTAAAACTGTAATTCTAGTTAATCCTCCAAGCAGGCCCTTGTGGGTTCTCCAACTGGCAAAGCCCAGGAACATAAAATAATGATAAATTGAAGTTATCTGAGCTCTGCCTCAGAAAATAAACAAATGACAGAATGAATAAACAAGTCAGCTCAGAGGGTGGTGCCTGCTTGGATAGAAATCAGTCCCCACTGACTGGGCAACTGGGCAAGGAAGAGTTGCTGCATTACTGAGCTCATTCGGTTCCCTACACCTTCTGCAATGCTACTGTAGAACCTGTGGTGGCTTGGGGCACTCACAAGGGAAAGGCAGAACCTCCATAATGTGGAATACCAGTGCTGGCACCAGACATTTCAGACCGTTGGCTAGCATACCAACCCTCTCATTCAAAATAGTCCACAACACCAAAATCCTAAATGTCCCTAGAACAAGTTACCATAGAACAACAAAACCCATGGTGGTAGACTCTCTCTTTTGCTAACCCATAAAATCACTACATGCATATGTATGTATGCATGCATATGTATGCATGGTAAGTTAATTTGTCACTCAATAGATCCAGATAGTACTAGATTCTTTAAAACACCCTTATATTAAAAACAAAGACACATATTCCGTAGTGACTTTTGAACATATTCAGGCGATATCAGTGTCTTGAACCATGTTTATCTTGAGCCTATCACCTATCAGTTGTCAAGCTCTCTGAACAGACTGCTTCATCTGCATAAGTTCCATCATCACCTCTGCGTTTGTGACATGGAACTGTTTGCCCCTCTGATGGGTTCTTTCCTATGAGTACTGCTGATTTTGAAGGCATGTGTCTCTCTGATCTCAGTGGACATTAATTGCACCTGTGTTGATGTATCTACGGTTCTTGGGCTGATAATACAAGCAGGAAATCTGATGGCTGACCAGTTGGCTGAACCTAATCAGGGCAGATCAGCTGTTACCCAAGGTGCCACTAGCTGTAATTTTGGGATCTTTACAGAGTTATCACTTGCCCGAAAGACAAGGATCTATAATTCTGTCAACACTAATCTCAAACTGTATGTTCAAGGCAGCTCTTGCTTCCACTGCCCAAAAGAAAAGATAGCACTTGTCAGATAAATACCTGAGATCGTAGATAATAGGAAATTAGAGGATGGGACTGATTCTGTGATGGTGAGGGTTTTCTTTCTTCAAGAAAATTTACACAAGGTTGCTTCCACTGCCCAAAAGAAAAGATAGCACTTGTTAGATAAATACCTGAGATCGTAGATAATAGGAAATTAGAGGATGGGGCTGATTCTGTGATGGTGAGGGTTTTCTTTCTTCAAGAAAATTTACACAAGCAGAAATATGAACCTCAAGAATAAAAGGGTCATAGACAAGACACATGCCAAACCCTCATCCTTCTGCTATCCACATATTGGGCAATTTGGTGCATATTTGCTCCACCCTCTAAATCATCAAATGCAGAAACAGTCCAAGCCTCAAAAGAAAATCTCACACTGGTGACCTGGGCTGCCACACAGTGACAGTGCCTTGGTGGGAAGCAAGCACATTGTCAGGGGCAGAGGCGTTATTGTCAGACTGTCAGTTCAGGCTAGTATACTCAGACCTTTGCTGTCTTCTTATAGTCACAAAAATAAGAGAATACTAGAAAATAAACTTCTTCCTTACTGTATCGCTTTGGTCCGTCTTCCAAACAAAATGAAAGTGTTAATGTGGCATCATCTTCGAAAAACTCAGTGGCAAACGCATCCCACCAGAGGTTGTCACTGTCCTGGAAAGAGACAAGTAGCTCATTTACTTAACAAGCAAAGGCAACAACAGCAAGTATCTCAAAGAGAGCAAGAAAAGATGGGTGGGATAACTAATAAAACAAACCATCACCACCAACAAAACTGTGGCTCCCTACTTAGCATATGTGCGTGGGTGTTCAGGGAAGGGGTGGGTAGTGTGTGGTTACTTTTCAAATTAATTGCTTCAAATGTGGATCAAATTCCAATTCACTAGACAAACTAACACCAAGTCAAACAACTAAAAAATAATTCTTTTTTTGTTTTTGTTTTGTTTTGTTTTGTTTTGTTTTGAGACAGAGTTTCTCTGTGTAGCTCTGGAGCCTGTCCTGGAATTTGCTCTATAGACCAGGGTGGCCTCATAGAGATCCACCTGCCTGTGCCTCCCGAGTGCTGGAATTAAAGATGGGCACCACCATCACCAGGCCTAAAAATTAAGCAACAGTCTTATGCCAGTGGATTTTCTTGAAGATTTTTTTAAGGCAACAACAACTTTCTTGTTATTAAAACAATTGTGAAAAATAGAAAAGTTCAGGGGAATGCAGGCCTTCCATAACAGTCTGTTTGTCTCTTTGAGTGTTTCCCTTATTCATCTAGAAAGCACTTTAGGAAGGATGTAGCTGAAGGACATTCAAATTGCTGTTCCCAGGAGATGAGGGGACCCACAGCAGAGGCTGAGGCAGTGTCCAACTTAGTGTTCAATTTACCCCCAAACTCTTAAGTAAAAGCTTTCTCCAGAGACTGTCTGCTCTGGTGCCAGATTGTATAGGAAGATGGCTCCCAGCTGCCTGTCAGAGGAGTGCAGGGTAGGGGGCTGCACCACCATTCACTGTGTCCTTCTTCATGGTCCCTCAATGCTGGGGCCCTGGCAGAGACTGCAGTCTCCCTGCTGACCATTCAGCTGTTCAGCTTATGACAACCTTAAGTTGTTGCCATCACTGGAAGGCTTCAGGAATGAGCCTTCATTCCTTAAAAGAACAATTAAGACGCCGGGGAAGATTGATGTCGCCCTCTCCCGCAGAACGGAACAAGCTCAGACAAATGAATTTTTCTGTCTCCTTCCTCTGGATTCCACCCAATAGCCACATTAAGGCCGATGCTTTTCTTTAGAAAACACACCAGTTAATACAAGATCACCCCAAGACAGTGCCAGACCCTCATTCAAACTCCCACCCTGGTCTCCTTTCTAAGTATTTTATTGATCATTTACTATGTTCAGTACCAGAAATGAGTTTTATCCTCAAAGTCTGCTAGTGGGACATCAAATGACCAGTGAAAGACAGCCTTGACCATTTCAGAGAACCCAGCCATGGAAGTTTCTAGAGCATTTAGAAAAGACTATGAGTTTTGAAGTATAAAAACAATCAGTTCTGGAAATAAATCCCATTTGTAATGCTGAACTCACTAGTTTATCTGACTTTAAGTTGCTACAAATAAATATCGCTCCTTAATTGTATTCAAGACCCACCAAATGCTATTCTGATTGCTTTTCTGTGTTTTCCAATATAATCCACAAATGTCTCATTTTTGTTTTTATTTTTGCTTTCTTCCTCAACACAAGGATTGGCTTCCTATCGTTAGGAGTTTTGTTCCTGTCTTGCATTCTCCAGCCTGCAGAATGGTGTCAGGCCACGGTATTCTCAATAGAAGTGGTTCCATGAATGAAAGTAGCTACCTGTGCTATTTTCTGAGCTTTGCTATTGCAGAAACTAAACTGTCAGTGGAAAATGTAACTTAACAGGTATGCTTGGCCATCAAAAGTTAGGGATGGGATGTCTAGCTTTCTGTACCTCTGCTCTGCTGCAGCAATGTGCCACATGTCCCCAGCTGTCTTATTTGGGTATGGAGAGAACTAGGTTTTAGGAAGAAGGAGGGAGAAACAGCAGGGACACTCGGCCTCAGCCCCCCTTCTTCCCCAAGCTCTCTGCTTTGTAGTACAGATTTGCTGCCATAACTCATGCCCAGGTTTGCTAGGACTATGTCACTGATGGAATTTGCTCCTGTGGACAAGGCTGCCCCAAGACAAGCCTATGTCCTAGGCTTCCTAGCTATTAGAACCAGGGTGGTTTTAACTGACCTACTTCTTTGAAAGTTGCAAATAACCACAATCACAAAAGTCGTCAAAATAATATCCACCTGGCAGAGTAAACGTGTGAATGAACTAGGTTAGAGGCTGTGAATTGCTCACAGACATAGAGTTCAGTGAGGACCAAGAAAATGCATCTCCCTGCTACTGCCCACCACCATCTCTACATCATTTTGGGGGCAGGAGACCATCCATATTCAAATGAACTGCATTGAAAAATAAATTCTACAAACCAATCTGTGAATAAATCAAGGTACTTTTCAGGTTTTGCTCATTTGCAGTCCATACACCAGGGCCCAGCAACTAGTCAAATACCTGAGCAGAAACTAGAAAACCACCTTTGTGCTTTGCTCATTAGTTAGGTGTCCATAAACTGGATCGGGACTACCCATCCACTTTCTTACAACTTGACTCCTGGTCTCTGAGATATCAGCTGCAAAAAGATCTAGTGCAAGGAAAAATTAAGGAGAAACCCAGGCTGACATGAGATTTTTCAGAGAAAAAGACGGGCTTGGGCTAAAATAAGTTTGAGAACTGTCTGCAGATAGCCTTTCATATTCTCAAAAAAGCTTCCATTAGAGTGAGCAGAAGTTGCAACAAGCATATGGCCCAAGGAGAGATGTCACTTGATTCAAACTAACTGCATAAGAACAGACTTGTAACCAATGACAGTTTATTCTGGAGAGGATGTGGAGAAAGGGGAACACTCCTCCACTGCTGGTGGGAGTGCCAACTCTTACAGCCACTTTGGAAATCAGTATAGCGACTCCTCAGGAAAAGGGGAATCAGTCTACCACAAGATACAGCAATTCCACTCTTAGACATCTACCCAAAAGAAGCACATTCCTACAACAAGGACATCTGTTCAAAGTTGTTCATAGCAGCACTATTTGTAATAGCCAGAACCTGGAAGCAACTTAGATGCCCCTCAACTGAGGAATGGATAGAGAAAATGTGGTTCATTTACACAATGGAATACTACTCAGCAGGAAAAAAAAACAATGGAATATTGAAATTCGAAGGAAAATGGATGGAACTAGAAGAAACCATTCTGATGAGGTAACACAGTCACAAGAAGACAAACATGGTATGTACTCACTCATATATGGAATTTAGATATAAAGCAAAGGATTACCAGCCTAAAATCCACACTGCCAGAGAAGCTAGGAAACAAGGAGGACCTTAAGAGAGACATACATGGTCCCCCAGAGAAGGAGAAAGAGACAATATCTCCTGAGCAAATTGGGAGCATGGGGGAAGGGAAAAGGGAGCTAGGAGAATGAGAAGGGGAGAGAAGAGGAGGGGTGAGGAGGACATAAGGGAGCAGGAAGGTTGAGTCAGGGGAAGAATAGAGGAGAGCAAGATAAGAGGTATCATAATAGAGGGAGACACTAAAGGTTTCAAGAGAAATCAGGCACTAGGGATATGTCTGGAGATATACAAAGATGACACCAACTAACAATCTAAGCCTCCCCTGATAATGAGATGGATGACTATCTTATATGCCATCATATAGCCTTCATCCAGCAGCTGGTGGAAGTAGAAGCAGACACCCACAGCTAAACACTGAACTGAACTGGAATCCAGTTGCAGAGAAGGAGGAGTGATGACCAAAGGGATCCAGACTAGGCTGGTGAAACCCACAGACAGCTAACCTGAACAAGGGGGAACTCTTGGTCCCCAGACTGATCACTGGGAAATCAGCATAGGACGGATCCATACCACATGAACATGGGTGTCAGTGAGAAGACCTCAGAACTCCATGGGGCCTCCTGTAGTAGTTCAGTATTTAATCTCTAGCATAGGTATGGACTTTGGGAGCCCATTCCACATAGAGGGATACTCCCTGAGCCAAGACACACAGGGGTTGGCCTAGGCCCTATCCCAAAAGACATGACAGACTCTGAAGACCCCCTATGGAATGTCTCACCCTCCCTGGGGAGCAAAAAGGATATGTGATAGGTAGGGTTTTAGTTGGGGGAAGGGTAGGGGAGGAAGGGAGGGAGAGGGAACTGGGATTGACATGTAAAATTATCTTGTTTCTAATTCAAATAAAAAAAAATGAAAAAAATAAGAACGGACTTGTAAGGGGTAGGGTACATTAGCGACAGCACTCTGGAACAATTGGTGTTATTACAGATCTTCAAAGAACACAGAACAAATAAAGATGGAATATTTGAGTTCAGATTTCTAAGCACATACTGTACTGGCTTTTTCTTCGTTTTTTGCTGACTGAGTTAATAAAACTTCTTATTGTACCCATAACTTATCTTAACCCAAGTTGGGAAAAGCCCTTGTCAAAACTGTCCAGAAAGCTTCACTGTATGTTGATTCTTTGTTTCATAACAAGTCTTTGCTATGTTTACAGACAGCAAGATGACCTATTTGTTGCCATGTAGCCCTGACAACTTACATTCAATCCAGGAACCCCCAGTGGGAGGAGCATGATCACTCCTGTTTGTATACAGGCACATCACACACTCAAAGACACTCATGCATACACTAATAATAACAATAATTTCTAAATTAAAATTTTCTGTGCCATACTTTAATTTAGAAAAGCACATACATAACAAAGCTCTTTAGTTTTGAGTGTATAGGTATTAATGTAGAGAAGGAAAGAATATTGAGGGAAAAGCAAAAAAAAAAAATTACTATTGAGCATTGGACAGTCCCATGGCAGTTGTGCATAAAGGAAGCTGTTTGTGGAAAGTCCACACACCAAGACCCCTGGGTTAAATGGGGACTCATAACCCAGTATTTCTAAGTGTTTTACATGCAATAAACCACCTTATATTCATAACTTTCCTAATTGCCTCCAACAAGTGGAGCTCACAACCTTATGGAAATTTATGTCCTTAACCTCCATGTTACCCTAACTTGAATATATAAAATCTGTCTCTCAATCTGTCACCTAACTCCTGCTTTACATGTTTGTTGCTTTGGTAAGGGAATACTAACCCTGAGGGTCTGTGAGGACTAAGAAAAAAGTTACATGTAGTGACTGTTTGATAAATTCAGTTCTAAATATTCATTATAATCTCATTTAATACTTACATCACTTGAAAGGAAGAATCTGAATTCCCAAAACATTAAGCTCCTCAGTAAAACTACACAAGACAGTGGTGAGAAAGTTTACACACAGTCTGCTAATTCCAATCCACATGCTCCCTTCCCTCCAAATTCTGCTGAAATGATATTTTTTTCCACGTTGAAGCAGATCACAGGAGTGGAACTGGTAGGATGCATTTAAGGACCTTTCTCATGAAGAAGTGTCTTCCTTCAGCTTTTTATGGACTTGGGGCTCCCCTGAACACTCCCCCCCACACACACACACGTTTTCCTGTTACTAACCTCTTTCGCTGCCTGCAATAGCTTCTGGGATGGGGTAACAATATTACAGAAAACATCTATTCAAGGACACACACACACACACGTTTTCCTGTTACTAACCTCCTCTTTCGCTGCCTGCTATAGCTTCTGGGATGGGGTAACAATATTACAGAAAACATCTATTCAAGGAAGAGGCCATTGCTAAAAATGGCCACAGCCAGAGTGACCCCTGCTGAACCACATTAGAACCCTCTGTAGAACATCTAAGAATCCAAACTAGTAGAAACTCAGCTCTTAGCCATCTGGTTACACCAGCAGTCATGTGTTATGTGTTGTTCTTATTGCCTGGGAAATCTGGCAAGCACCAAATCTTGTTCTCCTCTTTGGCTGCTCCCTGGGCTGGGGAAGCTTGCCAGTTGAGTTCCCATGGAAGAAGATAGGAAACTACCGCTGACTGTGGCCTTCAAGCATGGGCATGCACAACCCTGATCGGTGCAGTGTGCCGCTTTAAGGAGGGGCACTGTGCATGGTTACCTTTTCCATTCCTGGCCAGATTCCTTCCTAGAAATGAGCAAGCAAGAAGGGAGCAAGAGCCTGGAATGAACAGGAAAGGTCTGGGCCACAGCTAATGAGCTTCTTCCTGGAGTACTACTGTAGGAGTCTGAGGATTCTGAGTCCAGAAGCAAAAGGATGGAAGCAATGTTTGTGCCATGGCAACCCCTCTCTCTGTGCTCCCAGTCAGGGCCACAGACATGCAGGTCAGAAGCTTACACTGAGGCAGAAGCTTCCAAACCTGCCTCTCACCAACACTGCCATTCTGGAGCCATCTTTCAGGTATAATGCCTTATAGCATAAGAACACATTATTGACCATATTTAAACGAATGAGCTTGATTTACTTTAAAGATTAAAGACCCAAGTACAGGATGGTGAAAAACTGAGGCCCACCATCCAGTACTGACAACTATTCATATGATAACAGATTCCTTTTTCAATTAATTTAAATAATAATAAAATAAATGCCCAAGGTCTCCATATCAGACAGTATACTTCTCTCCTTTCCCCTAGAAGCAATTGTCTCCTAAAAATTATATGAATCTTGCAAGCCTAACTCTAATTTAAAGGCATATTTGATCACATTTATATGCAATCCTATTGTTTCTAATGTTTTATTTCATTGTTAAAATACATTCTTTAAACATGAAATTTTACTTTCTTTTTTATTGTTACATTAATTAAATTTATTTAATGTGTGCATTGTGTGAGGGAAAGGGCTCACACCTGCCCTGTCACGGGTGTGGATGTCATAGTACAACCACTGGGAATCAGTTCTCAGCTTCCATTACGTTCGTCTCAGGGACTGGACTCAGATATTCAGGCTTGGCAGCAGGGCCTTTATCTGCTGAGTCATCTTTTTGACCCCATAACTTAAGTGTTTCATTTGTTTATTTAGTTTATTTTGCTCTGCTGGGGATCATATCTGAGACTGTGTGCATGCTTGGTCAAGTGATCTATCACTGAGCTACATGGCCTGTCCCCTGCTATCTGTTTAGAGAGCCATCCACTTTATAGCCTGGGGACTCTGCTTTCCTTATGTAAGCCATCCACCAATGCATGAAATGAATGTACAAAACTTCATTAAAACATTTTTCCACTAGTGATCTCAAATGTCTTGCCATCATGACTGGCAGTGCTGCAGTGAGAACCTTAGTCCCATCACTTTCTGTAAATGTATAGGAATTTCTCAGAGACAGATAGATACCTGGGGTGGCCCCCAGCTTAGGGAACATGTTGGGCTATTCTTTAGTTCTTTGACTAGGGAAACCTTGGACTTCTTTATTAAAGATTTCTACTTTGATGGATGGATGCACAGGTAGAGGTGAAACAAAGAGAACTTCCAAGTGGAATCAATAGCCAGAGAAACGTAATTACAAAGCAGAGACTGGCTCTGCTAGGAGGAGGAGCATCTATGCAGTCTACATGTCCAAGAATCAACGATGGAACAGAAAAATAAATGATAACATAAGAAGAGTTTGTCAGTCTTGTCTCAAAGGAGAAGGGTCTGTTAGGAGCTCTCTTACCCCAAATGGGGGACACTCCTTGACACTGTCAAAAGAAAGCATGGGTTCTTCATGGTCCTGTGCAGTGACCCAGAGAATTGGCATCCAGCGCCCCAATTCACATGCAGATCTAGCTGTGTACCTGTCACATAGCTTCTGCTTGGGGGAACCTGCCTTCCCCCAGAAAACAGGCATTTCCCATCCATGCTGCTGTTTTGTATATGAAGTCCCTGGTTAGTGTTCAGTGGATATTAACAGGGAAAAAAAAGGTGGATTCCTTTCCCAACTCTAAAAACTACAACAGCACACAGCAACTTCCGGGTAAATAAACATGAAATTAACGAGGACTGAACACTGGCAAGGGCTCTATTGTTGACAATCCTCATATATTTTAATTAGGCAAAAATACCATCGAAGCTTCTCTATCCTAAATAATCCCCCTATGTATTTCAGCGATTAAAACCGTTATTCCTTTTGTCTCACTCACAGGTGAGCCCAAGTTCCACTGACAGCCAAGTCATACATCAGGATGGGAGACATACTCATGCCAAACAGCAGAAAAGATCCTTAATTATATTAAAAAAAAACCCACAGAGGCATTTGCTCCCATCCCAGATTCTCTCCCGTCCCTACTCTGTCCCTCTCCACTAAAAACATGATCCTGGTACTGGGGATGCCCCCCGGCATCTTTAACTTAAGCACTGACAGGTTACGGGGGATTTTTGCCAGAGTAATTATTTTTCAATTCAACAATAATGAGAAATTACCATGGCAACCACTTGTCACGTGGTACACATATACCCCCTCCAAAGAATGAGCCACACTTAAAGCATCCACTCCTTAAAAATGTGTGTGTGGTTTAATTAAACTAAAACAGGTCAACATAGAGAGTGCTATAGAGAGGTCTGAAAGCAGGGAGGTGGGCAGGATTTTGACTGGTTTTTAGTATCTTGTGGTCCAGGCTGTAAGAATATCTCATAACACCCTGTCCTGTGCATATACATAGACAGCACTATGCCAATTTATATCTTATCTTCACTTCAGTCACTCCCACAAGTCAGCTAACCTCCTAGAACACACTGAAGACAGTGAATGGGGTCACTGCATTTCTAAATGTCTTTGTTGGTCCTTTCCTTACACTGAGACGGGAGACAGAAAAGTTCCCCCAAATCACCTTCTGTCTTTTCATGACCTTCAATCTGTCTTCCTGAACTGCAACTCTTCATATTTTCCTTTTAGATTAGATATACTTTTTAGGACAGTGTCTCACTATGTGGCTGAGTCTCCTATATAATCCAAGCTGGCATCAAGTTCATAGCAAATCCTCCTGCCTCAGTCTCTCAAACTATTGCAGTTATGGCCATGCTGGCTAAACTGTTCTGGTCTCTTAATCTCTAGCCAGCTTTTCTCCCAATTTGGGAATTTTAAAATAGGCCTTGTTTATTCAGAACATGTTAATAATAGTGGTCAGTACTTAACTCTATGCCAGGCACTGTTCTAGACTCTTCCCTTCCACAGCTTCTTAAGGCCAAAAAGCAGCCTCCTTACTGAGCACATTTCACAGACCAAGATGCTGAAGTTCAGCATTGGTGCACAGTTACACAGCTATCAATTTCAAAGAAAGGATGGACACAAAAGCAGGAGAGTCCTGTGCCTACATTTGGACTCATAACCACTATATTGTTACATGCCTTTATCAAAATATCAGCCCCCAAAATAGCCTCATTTGCTTAAGCATCAGTTAATATTACATGTGCTGAATGTGGGAGACTTCCCCATCTGGAACAGACAACCCAAAGCAAGGCTTCCCATTGCTCCCACAGTTTGTGGACACACAGAAACAAAAGTAAAGAGGTTGGGTCATTTTCCTTTGCTAGATCCTAACTGCGGAAGCATGTAATAGATACAAGCTCGAATTTTAAAAAGCTCTTCTCCTCTTCCTCCCCCTCTTTCTTCCTTTCTTTCTTTGTTTTGTATTTATCTTGATGATATTTTAAGGGAAACAAAATCTCCCTGGGATTTTTCTTCTCAAATTATCAAGTCTGATTTCATTTATTCTCAGCTAAACTGTATTTTATTTGCTGGTAAATGTTTGCTATCAGCTTAACAGACATCCTAAAACAGCATGTTGCCATGACAGTGAACTGTCCCTGTCAATAGAGAATTGTGGAATTTCACTCACAATTCAAGACTTTCCTTGCAGAAAGTGGTTGCTATGTTCCACTCAGTGCAAGTAGATGCTGCTGTGGGAAAGAGGCAGAGTAAAATCACAGAGAGCCTGGCTTTGACACACATACCTCTGCAACAAAAGACAGATCTGTGTCTCTTTCCCTGAAAATACCTGAGGAATTCATGTATTTCCTACTCCAACTTTGGTTCATTAAATCACCGATAATTATGAATATTCCAATAACAAATGTTGCATTGGCTCATCAAAAACAGTGGTGTGTGTGTGTGTGTGTGTGTGTGTGTGTGTGTGTGTGTGTGTGTGTGTGTTTACTCTCCCAAATTGAGTCCTTTGCCACCAGACTTAACATATTTGGAAGCAAATTACATTTTTTCTTTTCTACATTTGGATTCCTGTCAATTTCTTACAATCTCTACTTGCATTGTGTGTGTTTTACAAACAGACAAGACACATGGCAGGTTTGCAACCAATAATAGCACAATTACTTTTATTCACTACATGTGAAGACAGTGTCCCTCTTGGGTTGATATCTTTGTTATCACAATTTTATAGAGAAACTTTAACCTTCAGGATATTTTGAGATGGACACAACACCTGAGAAGCATATAGACTTACAAAAACCCCAATACCAGGCATGAGAAACCCCTTTTGAGTTGTTAGTAAGGGGAGTCAAAGAGATTCCCAAAACAGGATAGGCTATTGCTATTGCTCTTGATGGCCTCCCAGAAGCTGAAGACAAGACCCCAATACTGAAGACACCATGAATGTTATACACAAGCTCTAGAGGAACCAAGCCGGATCTGACCTGAAAGCTTTCTCCCTGAGGACTAGCTTTCATAGTACTGAAAGATGCTATGCAAACTTCCAAGGGAGGAAAGCAACCAATAGTCCTACCCAGCTGTGATGCCTATGAACTGAAATGACATGCAGCATAACAACCCTAAGGTGCAATAGTGGGACTCACATCTTGTCAATAATCAACAACTATATAATTGGACCTAAGCACACTGCACAGGAAGAAAATCATGGCTTGTACTGGAAACTTGGCCAATTACTGGAGCAGAATGAGGTCATGGATCTTAGAGGAGAACCTATTACTGTCACTCTACTGAACTAGCACAATACCTAACTTCATTTAAAATATTTATCCATATACCCACAAATAAGTATAGCTCTCACCCCTCAAAGAACCTTCTCTTTTCAAAAGATGGGAACCATTACAAGAAACCACAACTAGCCAAATGCAGATTGCAAGTGATTGTGGAGTCCCCAGCTCCAATGGATACATCTACAACGCAACTCCTGCACCTAAGACTAAGGGAGCACCAAATAAGAGGGGCCAAAAAAATGCAAGAGTCAGAGGACCAGGAAATATGCTGTGGCATTGTGTGTCCTAGAAAGGACAAGAAAGCTTCTCCCCAAGATACCTCAATAATATGACTTGTAAGCACAAGGGCCATATCACTAGACTTGCGACATGGTACAGAGAAATCATATGGGGCCTGATTAATAGACAAAGAAATGCTGGCAACTAAGAAATGCTAAGAGTTAGAGAAATAGACTTCCCCCAAGAATAAGATTGGTTATCTAATATCAGCAGGTCAGTCCTGAAATATAAATACATGTAACACTAAATGTACTGCTCATTCGAGGTGTGTGTGTGTGTGTGTGTGTGTGTGTGTGTGTGTGTGTGTGTAATTTGCACACTTTGGGTATCTGTGTCTGTGTGTTTCTGTGTGGAACAATAACAAAGAAAAAGAAATAATGGTTTTGAAAAGAAACAAGGGGGTGATAAGTGGGAGGCATTGGAGAGAAAAAGGGGAAAGGGGAAAGCACATAATTATATTTTAATTATAAAAAAATAAGAAAAAAAAACACTAAAAGTCCCAGCCCAAGTAAGTGGTAACATGGGGGACTGTCTTGGGCTTTCTATTGCTATGATGAAACACCATGACCATATAGCAAACTGGGAGGAAAGGGTTTATTCAGCTTACACTTCCACAGTGCTATTTATCACTGAAGGAAGTCAGGACAGCAACTCAAGCAGGGCAGGATCCTAGAGGCAGGAGTTGATATAGAGCCATGGAGGGGTGCTGCTTACTGGCTTGCTTCTGCTGGCTTGCTCAGCCATTCTTATAGAACCCAGGCCCACTATCCCAGGAAGGGCACCACTCGCCATGACCTGGGCCCTCCCTCATTGATCATTAATTGAGAAAATGCCTTACAGCTGGATCTCATGGAGGCATTTCCTCAACTGAGGCTTCTTCCTCTCTGATGAAGACTCTAGCTTGTGGTCAAGTTGACACACAACTAGCCTGTACAGGGCCTTTCTGGGCTCTTTCCATGTAATTCATTTTCTTATTTTATACTCAAGCATGGAGAAATGCAATTTAACTTCTCAAAAATGATATACAGGAGACCCTGGGTGAAGCTGTCTGGCAAATGATCCAGTGAGGTGTGACTCCAGGTGCACAGGTCTTGTGGGTGACAGTTCTGTAGTAGAGAGCACAACAGCTCACATGGCATCATACCCTGGTGTAAAGGAAGTCCTGAATGGCAGAGTCCTGTGGTGAGACAGTCCCTTATGCATCTGAATAAAAACTTGCCAGGGAATCATGGGCAGCATTTTCTCCTCCAACATAAGTACAAAGAAAATAACATTTTTGGGAAAACTTGCAAGGTGCAATAGCTTTTTACTAACCCACCCTAGTGCATCAGAATTAATCAAATGATAGAAATCATTCCTCATATATGCACTAAATGTTAGAGAACTATGCCAGGACTGAGGCCTTAGGATGTCATTGAAAAAATTAGCCCAGATATTTCTCTTTGGTGTTAGGGAAAAATGAGACATTTTTATGCACAAAGGAAACTATAATAGAGGAGACTCAACACATCTTGATGGCATTCCAATGTC